GTGCCTAAGGCCCAAGGCCCATCTTTTTATCATTAAATATTTTAAAGTTCAGACCGAACTCAATGTGAAGCCCAAATTGCCTCCGCAAGGACATTCCACTCGTAAGGACGAATCCCCTCAATGCGATGTCTTGGATTTCATTCAAACTTCTAACAAGTTTAAGATGTAAACATGGGCTTAGCCAAATTGGTTAGAACGGATGTGCACCTCACTATACATTCGAGTTCGAATGCACCCCCACTATAGTTTAGATCAAATTAAAATAGAATATCGCTTATATCCACAACAAAAAAGTATGGTATAAGGTTTTAGTTTAAATAAGCGTGCTTGGTTCAAAGAAGTTCAAAGATCTCCACAAGTCACTTGAATTAGCACACCTTGGAACTTGCACTAATCTATTTTCACAATGGTTTTTGTCGAGTCATCATAGGTTCTTGATCAATCCAAGTTGTTCGAACTTTATCTGTGACTCTTTCAGATCAAATCAAAACGTTACGTTTCTCTATTCAACCTAAACTAGTCGAATGTTTTCTATGACCTTTTCTGGATATATACAAAATGTACGACAGTTTAATCCAAGTGCTTGATCTTCATATTTTGTTATCCTATTAAATATTGCCCCTACTCTGAAAAATTCATGAATCCGCCACTGTTTATAGACCATATCTAAACCCCGTCTATTTTTTAGGTCTCCTATTGAGAGAATAGAAAAATGACCCAATCCAAAACAATTGAACTGTTGAATGAAATAATGATTATTTAAACCAAATTGAACGAACAAATATACAGTGTGCTTCAGTTTAATCGTTGAAAAATGGCAATAAAAAGGTAACATAATATATGTATCAAGCAAGAGGCAAGAAGACAGGAAAAAGATATATTGTATTGGCACCAAAATATATCCAGCACCAATACAGTATAAACACAAATTTACACAAACAAAGCTTGCTTTCAATCTGAAAAGTGAGAGTGAGAGCTCACTTTTCCCATTCTCCCTTTACTCCTTCAGAAAAAAAAGGGTCTTTAAGGAGAGGAGGGAGGGAGGGGAGCACAATGTAGAAGAAGCTACACCATTATGCAGCAGCTCTGTCATCGGAATCCAACCATAATGAACCTGTGATTTGGGTATGCGACATATCTTTCTCTCTCTTTTTGTGCATAAGGTCCTGAATTTTCTTTGCTCAGCAATAATGTTAAGTTCATGAATGCCTTACTAATTTATAAGCACCCAATGACCAGTTCATGATATTTATAATGTAATTATCATGCAGTATACTAGTCCTAGAGTGAATTTGTTTCCCCCTTTCTCCCTCATGGTTGTGACGAATAGCTACGTCTAGTTTAGAGAACCTTGATTTTCCGTTTTTTCTCCTTGAACATCACTGTCTAAGACTTTCTAGTAGCAATCAGTTTGGAGAAAAAGAGAGAAATCTACTCCAAACAAAACTTTAAAGAGAAAACTTCTAACAAAGAAAATAAAAGGATGCTTATTTGATTAGGGAGACTCTTCTAGTGAATCTAGAGAATCCGGCCCTTCTATGTTAAATTGTTCTGTTTCTCCTTGGCAATTACGTCCAAAGGCATGGAAATCCTTGGGCCAATAGAAAAATTGGGAGAAAAACTATAACACTCAAACCCATCGGCCATGATACACAAAAGAAAAGCAAAGGAAAGAGATCTAAATTATGAAGAGAAAAGCAAAAGAAAGAGATTGTTAGTTTAGAACTTTAGAGAGAGCAAGAAGGTTAGAGAAGAGAGAGAATTTCAGAGAAAGAGAAGGGGAGGAGGAAGAGAGAAATAGAGTCACGAAAATAAACCGAAAACTCAAGCCACATGCACTTGATGATTTTCAACAGAAATATTGACAGACATTGACGGTAGCAGAGGCATTAATACTTTATGAAACTTTGGGGGATCTGAAAAACCACATTAATAATCGAGAAAAAATGAAATACGACCTATAATCCAAGGGGCATAGCTAAATTTTGGAAAAATTTAAAATTTTAAGAAGATGTAACAGTCACTCTGCATAATTTTTGGAAAAATGCAAGGGCATCAACGATATCTTGAAAGAAATATGCTGTCAGCCCATAAACTTATGCATACAAATCACTAGATGGACCTAATCCGAAATAAAATGCTTTCAAACTTAATTTAACAAATCATATAGGTCTTACCTGAATGTAAGCATCCAATAGAATTATACGCCATTAATCCTCGCACAATTTTATATACTTTTAAGTTCAATAATACATAGGAGCAACCCCTCAAAGGAAATATATTGACTAAACTGGAAAAGGTCATAATTATATAAATGTGAAAAATAATGTCCACCATATAAGAGACATCTATGATGGATCATAAACCAGGAGTTGCTATCTTCGATTTTTCGTCCAATCCCATTGCATTTCGTATCCTTGTTGATAATAGGAATGTGTGGGAACTAAGGATCTAATAAAATAGAGAAAACACACATATGTTCCACTTTGGAAGGAAATGGCCACTGCCCTCTATTTATGATTATTTTTCGCTTCATCTATCTCCATATTTTTATGGAAAAATTTCCATTGTAATCAGTGAATTTGGATTTGGATTACTGGACAGTATGGCGCCTTACATCCAATATTTGTTCTTTTACAACATCCTTTTGCCCTGCACATTCCTATCATCAACGAAGATACAAAGTGTTTGGGGTTGGACAAAAACCTGAAGATAGCAGCTCTTGTTTTGCGATCAGTCACAGATCTCTCCTACATAGTGCACATTGTTTTTCAAAATTATAGAACTAAGACTTGTTCAAGCTTAATCAATACATAATGTTCGATTGATTAACTCCTGGGTATTATAACACTTAAGTATACTCTTCCAGCAATAGCTAAGATGGTTGGACGGTCATGCATCTCAGCAAACCAAAAAGAAGAGAAACATGCATCTGCACAGGGAGAGAAAGAGAATATTGAAAACTGAACTGAAAAGTTTTTGAAGAGATGGTGGAAGGAGTACTGGAACAATAAAGATATGGCATTTGACCACAAAATATTCTAAATGCAGGTAATGCTAGCAGCTATGGTATTAATAAGGCAAAAAACATGAAGCAATTGACTGTTTTGCAATACAAAGATTATAAGGTCTTTAAAAACAATGAAATTTCTCAGGGAAACAACACAAGTCAGTGAATCAAAAGGTATAACATATATGAATCAAACACCACAGATCCAAGCATCAAATTCACATCAAATACCAGTCAAATAGCAATTTTAATCTGATTTGAAACTTCTGCATCTCTGTTATCTGCTATTTTTGTGGTTTAATTCAGAACCCAGTTAAAAATATTGAACAAATCTCCAATCAGATTTTAAAAAAACCCCAAACAAATTAAATTGAAAAGAAAAAAATGCCCAAGAACTAGAAGCTGTAACCAAAAACCATAAAGCACGCACCTTTGTTAGAAGCCTCTGCCCACCTTGCTTCCAGTTAAATTATGGGTTTAACCAGCACATGTAAGCAATTTGAAGCTGGATCTAGGGTTCCTTGAAAACCCAGAAAAGTCCAGTTGGAAATTGCAGATTGATTTCAAAAGACTGACCCAATGGAAAATCAAAACGATCAGCTAACACAGAAACAGGAAGCATTGGTGAGTGAAAATGAAATGAGAGCTTCAAACAAAGGTGAGGGTGAGAGTGAGATGAGATTATCAAGTAGCTGAGATCTCAGACTGAATTGGCACTTAGTTTGACTGAATTGCCACTAAGTTCGACTTAATTGGCACTTTTGTCCCTCCATTTGTCATTTTTGTCCTTCGCCCTTCAAGTAGGTCCCTTCATTTCATTCCCACTGTGGTTCAAATTGTAAATTTCATCAATACGAGGGGGAGGGGTGTTTACTTCCTAAAGCTTCCAAGTTGTAGAAAATTTTAGAGGATTTTTCAAATCATGTAAGAGCACTTCCATTCATTTGTTATGGCAAAGAGTAAGGGCAAGGGAAGGGTTGTTACTATTCCATTGAATAGTGACAGAAGGCTTGTTGTGTTTGCACCCATTGTCATGGCAAATGGCAAATTCTATTCACTTTTTTAAAAAAAAATTCAAATGGCGATGACGTAAGCTGCCTGGAGGAAGCAAATCGGGCCATTTCTCCTTGTGGGCTTGCCCGAGTTGGTGGGCTCCACACCTTGCCCAAGCTTGCTGTTGCGCGTTGGAATGTCCTCGCATGGCCTAGGCCCTCTCCTGCCTGGGCTGGGTCCTAGGCCAAAAGTCGGTGAGGTTCGGTGGTGGCTGGCTGAAAGACGGTGAGGTATGTCGGTGGATGGTTGGAATTCGATGGTTGTGGCTGGCTGAAAGACGGTGAGGTACGTCGGTGGATGGTTGGAATTCGATGGTTGTGGCTGGCTGAAAGCTGGCGTCGGTGGTAGCTGGCCGGCAACAGTAGGCCGGCGATGGGAGGGGGGCAATGGGGCCTGCCAGAAGGGGATTGCCAGAGGTTGACGTTTGGCATAGTGTGCTTGATTTAGAAGGAGTAGCATTTTGTGTAATTTTGATGTTTTTTAATTATATTATTGTAAAATTAGGTACTACTTTTTGGTCTTTGGCTTTATGCTAATTAGGTAAAATTATATTCCTATTTTCCAAATTAGTAAACTATATAGTGTCTTAAAATGAAAGCTCCCTAATTTGCTTTAGGTATAAAAGTAAAACAAAACAATTTTTTTGTTTAAATTAAATTAATATGTCATGAAGTAAAAAATAAAACAAAACAAATTTTTTTAAACTAGTTTTTTTTAGTCTTTAGATTAAATTCAAGGGTGGGTGGACTCTTGGATCATAGGGGTCCAAGAGAACAGGACTGTTGTAATGAATATGCCATTTGATTTTTTATATAGGTGATATATAAGATGTTTTGGTATGTATTGTGAGTTCAAATTTTTTATTATTTATATTTTATAAAAAAAACTCCCTCACACATGAAATTCTAATTCCGCCACTGCTAATGGGGCTTGGTATTGATGCCAAAATTTAGTTCAGCAAAATTTGATCTTTTGAAGTGTCAGTTTGTATTAGGGATAATTATTTGGCAAGTTGTCTAAAGGCGGAAATCAAGTCTGCCTGGACCAACGGGCCAAAACTTGATCCCACGCAGCCTAAAGTTTTAGTGGGTTGTACTTGGGGTTTCCAAACCTAAGCCCGATATATATATGAACCCGATGAGACCCGGTCTACTTAGGTTCGATCCAAACTTGTTTATTATTTGCATATTGTATATCATTTGTAATATGTTCTTTTTTTCTTTTGAAACAAGCGATATTGGAGAGGGAGTTTTTGCACACACGCACTGCTAAGGTGCAATGGGAATTCGAACTTAAGATCGTTGGTTTGCAAGTAGCCATTTTCCACTGGACTAGACCCCGTTGGTCATTTGTAAGATGTTAGTATTTCATCTACCCTTCATGCCTCCCATTAAAATGCTCCAACAGCTCATTGTTTTTTGGATAAATTGTTTAATAAAATGCCTCAAAGAAGCTTTAGGTAGAGGCAAACAAAAAATCCTTGACAGCTTCTTTATCTTGACCCTACGAAAGATCAAATGCTTGTTAGTGATGGATTTTATAATAAACTTCCACATCTTATATGATGATTTGGCACTAAACGTGCTTTAAGTTCATTATATAATATAATCATGTTGAAGGAAAGGAGAGTTGTTAAAGATTGAGTTTCCTCACCAGCAGACATGTCAAGACTCAAGAGCCCATCGTCTTTTGAGTTCTGCCCAAGAAAAAACAATGTATATACAAAAGAAAAACGCACCATATAGTTAGTGGAATCTAAAGTCGATAGCATTCGAATCCAACGTGTTTGCCTAAACAATAATTGATGGCAAATGAAATACTCAATCAAGAGTAATTTTGAAATTTAAAAAAAGAGAATTGTCAACATATCGAGTTATTGTCGTTTATCAAATATATGGTGTTCGGTAATTTGATAGTCTAACAATATAACATATCAAATAGATTGACAAGAAAACATTACTTCTCAGATAATTAAGGTGAATCAGTTCAGCTTCAAGCGATCAAATCTCAACCGATCGAATCTCAACCGATCAAGGCGATAAAGTAACATGTAAAAACTTAACAATCTTAAAAGAAGAATTTGGGTGTTACATCAACTAACAAAGGGGCTTAGTTTTGTAAGAATGATTAGTTAAATTTGGCAGCTTTGATCTTTTTTGCAACCTTATCTCTTCTTCAATGAAAACCTTTACAGGCAAGGAAAAAGGGGCATAACAGCAAAAGCTTCTACTTGAATCAACAAACTGATTCGAAAATTATTGTGGTATATGGATTGGATAGAAGGACCAATTTCCTACGGGACTTGGCATTATTTTTTTTATATTCGAAAAGCATCTATGTCTCTCTCCTCACACACACACGTAACACACACACAAAAATGGATAATGTAAAACCTAAAGGGAAAATGGAGCCCAGAGATCTAGCCCGTTTGAAGTTAAAAACCGCAATCATTAATAAAATTTGTCTGCCAAGTGGTTACCCAAAATATATAATATATATTTTTTGATAGACAGTACAAAAGTAATATTCTCCTCACACACACACGTAACACACACACAAAAATGGATAATGTAAAACCTAAAGGGAAAATGGAGCCCAGAGATCTAGCCCGTTTGAAGTTAAAAACCGCAATCATTAATAAAATTTGTCTGCCAAGTGGTTACCCAAAATATATAATATATATTTTTTGATAGACAATACAAAAGTAATATTTTTTTTTATTTTTTTATTTTGATATTGTGTGCTATATGATCGATTTAAGTAATGGAAATGTTAGGTACCGAAGACCAAAGGGAAAGGAAAGAGAGAAAATAAGATAAGTGTTAGAATTTTTAATTTCTCTAAGAGAAAAATACTAGTTTTTTTATATAATTAATTTGTAGTTTTTAAAATTTTTAATAGCAACTTATGATTTTTATTTTTATGAAAGATTGTTTATGAGGAGATTGGCTACTCTTATCACCAGCGTCAAAGCAGACCCACAACGCATGGCACCCAACTGCCATCAGTCACTGGTATTGATTTATGTAGGCACCAACGAGAACTGCTGGCAGCAGGACTCGAATATTGATTTATGTAGGCACCAATGAGAACTGCTGGCAGCAGAACTCGAATACTAGTGGGGCTACACACAGTGCAGGGACCTTACCAACTGAACCAACCCTCGTTGTTTTTTTTTTTTTTAAACATCGGTTTTTAGAACAAAATATTTTTTTTATAATTTTAAATAAAAAAAATTACAAAGATTAATTAACTCACAAAAACAAAGTGTTTGCTTAATCTATAACCAATTCATGATTATTGTTATCATTAAGTAAAGCGAGTTCTTTTTTGGTACAGCCTGAAAGTCAGCTGCTCTACTAATGCGGGGTCTGGTCGCTTTCCACCATAGTCTCTTCTAAAATTTAAATATATGCTCACAGCATTTCCAATAAATATAAAAATTGTTACCTAAATTTATTATTTTATACCTAGAAACCACAATTTGTGATCCTTACTTTCTCTAAACGAAAACCTTTTTTTATGAGAGAAAGACTCTCTGTTTGAATTGTTAAACCTACTCAGTCGGCCCTCCAGATTTTCTTTGTGTATGAATTTACTTTGTTATACCTCAACAAAGTTATTAGGAATGTAATTAGCCAAATTATGGAACTGGTATATACCATGTCAAGCAGCTTTTGCCATGTTATATAGCCAAATTATCAATTCCTTCCCACATCAGCAAATATTCACATCGATGCATTAAATAGACAGTCCGACAACATAATATATCGAACAACTTAGATATATTTTTCATCATGCATTGATTATCAATACTAATGTTCTTGTTATTAGTCGGGAGAAGGAATTCAAACTTTGGACTTCTTCTAACATCGGGAAAAAAAATACCACTAATTGATATCACCATCCTAATATTTAGTTAATCGATTGTATTATGAAAAATGAATTGTTATGACCCTAATTCAATTATTCGCCTAAGTGAGATAAATTCCTAATTCCGTCACTGATTATAGTTGTTTTCTTACTCTACGTAGGGCTTATGTAGAACTTTGACTTGTTTATCAAGCGATAAACTTTGCATAAAACTACCTCTCCCTTGGGTTTTCATTAGTAATTTTCTTTTACTTAATCATTTGAGCTAAGATTAATATTTTTCAGGTCCATTCCAGGATTGATGGGGAAGTGTGAAACCAACATCAAAACGTGCCACGTAGCCCCCTGGTCCACAAGTAAAAGAGAGGGGCAGTATACAATTATTGGTGGGTCACTTAAGGCACGGAAGTAACTGAAAGCCACTAAAGAAGAAAGGTGATTGCAAATTAAAAGAAGTTATTTCGAAAGAAAATATATATATTTTAAAATAATTTAAATAAAAAAAGCAAAAAAAGCAAGAGAAAGTAGGTCTTACTTGGCACATTCTTAGTGAGTAAGAAATTGAAGCCTGGGAATCTAGATGACAATGATGTATTTGTATTCCATATGTTTGCCACCTGGAGTGGAGGGCTCCATCTTGTTCCACTGTGAAAGTCTAATTTCTAGAACTCTTCAAAAGTTTTTCTTACTTTTCTTTTAAATCTTTTATTTTTCAATTCCAACAACAAATTTCTCAACCAAAAAAAAACTCAAGTGATTAAATGATACTTATTTCTTTTAGCTAATGGGCTTACAATGATACTTAGTCTCTGCAAATTCTACTCTATTTTTTATACAATCGATATTGGGGGAGGAGGAATCGAACCTAATACCTCGGATACAATTATGAATGCTCTAAATCACTTGAGCTAATTTTATCCACAAAAAAGGTTATGTTTATTCACCCTGAATAATTCATTAATCTAACAACTATTAATTAAGTGAAGAATAATGTTACTGAGATCACAGTTATGTATCATAAATTGAGACGGAACCCACTCACACGATGAGTCCCATTCCTTAACTGAAACCATATATCAATGTAGAATCTTGATCCATATCATAGATCTCTAAACAAATGAAAAAAAAAAAAAAAAAAAAACAGAATGAAAAGTTTCTTGCATATATTTATGTATTTATCTTTTTATTCCGCATATTTTTGTCCATGCTCTTTTATATGCTAATATATTCCACAGACTCATGTAGGCATGATAGCCTTAGTGTGATGGAGCCTTGGATAAACCCTCAACTTGCAAATTTGAAATAAAGTAAAATGAAAGGAATATAAGCTAAAGAAAAAGGAATTGTCCTATTTGTCCAAAAAAAGAAGAAGAAAAAAAAAACATTTCAAAACAAAAGGGAAAAAAGTTCTATATTCCATGTCCTATATATAGAAAGCCTGCACCATGTAAAGGGTTCAACAACAACAAAATCTCATCCTTAGAAAACAACACAATCATTTTGTCTTTCTATTTGCTCTGTCTAAAACAGAGCTCTCATATTGTCATTTGACTCTGTTTCCTCTGTTTTCATGCTTCCAATCATCAAACCCCTCACAAAATCTACTACTCTGATAGTAGTGCTACCAATATTGGCTCTGATCAGAGACATGGTAGGTTACCAAGCCTTGACAAAAATCCGATTCGTTTTCGAGTGAGAACCACACAAAATCCTCAAAACCCTTTTCAGGATTTTCATTGATTTCTTCTCTCAGAACCCCATTTTTTAAAAAGAGAAATGAATTCAATCAATTTTTATGACATCAAAGCTGAGAAGGCAAACACCTTATTGAGGTACCGCCAGCTTCGAAAGATTGCAAACCTTTTTCGGTTGATAGAGGTGCTTGTTGTTCTGCTCCTGCTTTCCAGGTTTTCTCTTCAGCTCCCTCATGCTGTCAAGAACTCTGGCTTCTACTTCCGGGACATATCAGGCTTCGTGGTCAGCCCTCGCTTCGTGTTCGTCGTTGGAAATGTAATAGTCATCATTCTCTTCGTCAAGTCCGGCAGGTTTTCAGGTAAAGACTCCAGCGCAGGAGCTGATCTTTACGATGAGTTTGTTCACAACAGCGAAAAGAACCAGAAGATTCGCAGCGATGCGATCGAATACCACGCCATACAGAGCAGAGCTGAGGACAGCACAGCTTCTGAGAAGGCTCATACTATTTCTGGGGAAATCAAGAACTTTACAAGGAGCCAATCAGAGAACTTAGAGCGTGAGGCCTGCAAGAATTCACGGCGTTTACTGAGGCGGTCGGAGACAGAAAAATTCAAGAAAAGGGTTGAATCTGGTGAGAGATTGGCAGAGAGTGCGTACCCTGAAGACTCCATGAGTAATGAGGAGTTTCGCTCCAAGGTTGAGGCTTTCATTGCCAGGCAGCAAAAGTTTCGACTTCACGAAGAATTCTCTGTAAACTAGTGCGAATTATGGGATGGTAAAATCTAGAAGTTTCTGTTTTCTTTTCTTTTTCCCTTTCTTTTCTTTTGGGGGAGGGGGGGTGTTTCTATAAGTATTTGCACATTGCTATATCAGAAGTGCAATGTAAATTCTTATAGCTCTGTTCATATTTCCCTCAAACTGATATATCAATAGTTCTAGTAGCAAAAGCAATTATGCTACCTGTTTAGCAATTTTTTTTCCTTCAAGAATTACTTCTATAACCTTATTTTTATCTTAGACAAGGTAACGAAGTCAGGCCACTCATAGCTTTAGTGGTAGAGCGTTTACCCTCACACTCATGACAAGAGTTCGAGCGAGTTCCGCTCTACTTCGATAAGAAAACAAAGGTTGACCATGTGGCATGACCCACATCACTAAATCATCACCTAATCAATTCCAACTTCCAAGCATATGCCAATAGGCCAAAGAAAATGGGTACTTCCAATTTTCAAGAGAATAAATTTGCAGATAAGAGAATTTTCCTGAGCTGTTTCCATTGTCTGTATGGCTCAAACAAGGGGCATACTGGCAAGAATGTATTCTAAATTCTGTTCCACACATTATTATGCATGAATCCAGACTTTCTCTTTCTTTTTTTTCTTTTTCTGGATTGAAAGGATAGTTTGGAAGCATAAAGTCTGAAGAGTTTCCTATAAAATGGAAGCAGTTTTGACAAATCCGTTTTCAGTCATTCCATAATCTATAGACTGGATTGGACTGGACTGGACTGGAAAGCTCCATATACATGAGCATCTTTACCCTTCTCAATAACACAAAACAGAATAAGCGGGACACAGCGTGGGACATAGAATACAAGCACTAAATGTTGGTTCACTTAGCTTTTCTACTCACTCAATAAAAATCTTTGCCTTTTCTCCAGCACTAACTCTATAATAACTTTTGGTAATGTCACTAAACTACAACCCTATTGGATTGTTTATATCTTAAGATTCAATTGTATTTGATTCTTAACTAAAAATAACAATATTAAAAACTTTTAAGTCTATAAGCCCTCAAAGAATCGAGAAACACTCGGGATAGATTATCGCAGTGTTGAGTGGTAGAACAATTTAATTAATTAATATGGCATGTGTTTAAGAAATACTAACAAAATGCCACCCATCAAAATGTCCTAGCAACTCATTATTCTTTGATATTTTCTTTAAAGAGCATACTGCTTGATCAAATCCCTCAAAGTTCCTTTGAGCTCTTCTTCACCTTGCCCCCAAGAAAAATTCATTGATGCACAACCACTGAGAAATAAAAACTGTTCATTGAATTTGAACACATGTTACCTTTTAACTCGACTATTTTATCACTTATCACTCCTACGTGATAGGAACAAACCTACGCAAGTTTTTCTTAAATTAATCAGCCCATCCAACCACTGCTGGATGTGATTTTTTGGTTGCAATTTATGGATAAATCAATAGCTTATTACTTTTTTAATAGATTATAAGTAATACAAATAAAAACTATATTGCAAGAAGTTTTGAACTTTATTTATTAATTCTGATCCAACTCTGCACCGGCTCAAACAGTTTTGTAAGAACTATAGCTGAAAAACGAGTGCTAAACAAATTAGATAAATATTGAGATGGCATGCTTTTGTTGTTCGCAATAGCTGCAGTACTGAAGAACAAGAACTTAAAGGAGTTTGAAAAATGTTTGGATGGCATGTCTTTGTTTGTTGTCTACATCTGATCAAATGGATCAACAAAACTTGTCTCCATCATGCCTTACAAAACTCGAAATTCGTTGATCTCTTAAACAACCAACCTATTCTCCAAAGAAGATGGAGGAAAATTTACAGCATATGTTACAGAACCTTAAAGCAAGAATCAAAAAGCAAGACTTGGGGAGGGCAACCAAATACCAGAACAGCATAAAAGCATATAGACAGCCAATCAGAAGGCGCAGGAATTGTAAAACTTGCTCGCATAATTTTTTTTACTAATTCGAAGCAGAAGATCGTCAACAGTTTCTCCTTCTTAGTCTATGGATGTTGTGGTGTATCAAGACGTGATATCGCGGCTTGAGTTGAACGATGGAAGCGATCCACTGCATCATTTGTCCTTAATCTTTTCTAGGAAGACCTCCCTTGCATCATCAGCTGAATCAGCAGCTCCGGAGCCTAATGGGTGGCCATCAGAGTAATTCACCTTTATGATTCCTCCGACCACTTCAATGATAATTGAACCATTCACCACAAGCAAGTCATTGAAGTATTTAATAGCAACAGATTATAGTAACATGTAAAAACTAACAATAGAATTGTTCAGGCATGCATACATTGGGGGCATGACTAATATGATCCTTGAAGATTCCTTCCAGTAATTTTGGGAAAAGCAAAAGGAGCACATCTAGGACATTGATTTCTAATTACCCAAATTAAGTAAAAGAAGTTGACAAGCCACTCTCATCCTCCATTGTAGTGGCCATACTCGAGAAACAAGAGCCTCTAATTAATCCTACTGGCCACTTACTCTCTAAAGAAAAGAAAAGAAAAAACCAACATTATAAGTTGGAAACATACCGATGCAACATTCATAATATATAACTCCACAATCAGCCCTCGTCATGGATTCTCATAGATGGACAACGCATTCTTTATCTTCGTCAAGCCAATGCCATCGTCCCATGCTTTGTATACCCGACTCTTCTTTCCAGAGTTGCATGACATTTATTTAAAATCCTTTGGTATTCCAAACCACAAATGACCCCTTGTTTGCAAACTCACATGGATGGAAACCACTCATGGCCTTTCCCATGAGTGCCATAGCAGCAATGCTTGGAAACTGCTTCTTTTGAATTTCATCTACTGTTGCTTTCAAACGTTGCGATTTAGAAACAACCACTGCTTCAGACTTCTTTTGGGATGCTATTTTATTAGACCACCTCTGAATCCAAGGATGTGAGAGTGTTATATTTTGAATTTTCGCCACCAAGTCAATGGAAGAAGACTCACCATTTCTTAATAAAGTTGCAGTTTGATCTGATGCCATCTGTTCTTTACCAAGAAATCTGCCCATAGCAGGTTGTGAACTAGTTATACCGCATTTTGTAATCCTGTTAGAAAATTTGTTTACTTTTTCATGTGAAGAGGCTTCTCCCAATTTTGAGCTTTTTGTACCATGAGCAGACTGAGAAGCACTCAACTTGAGACGTTTAACCCACCTGCTGCCTGGCTCTGGTCCCTGAGGTCCTTCTGGACTTGCACTGGATTTTGAATTTGTTGGCTGCTCAGCATGGGCAAGGAGATGTTCCACATCCAAACTCTGGGTTTTTGAAGTGCTTGTCTCCCTTTCTTCTGCTGAACTTGCAAAAGGTGCAACCTGATTTATGTCAAATAATTTTGTGGAAGTAAGTCTAGCTCCAATCTCTTCTCTGCCTGAAGGGAAGGTTGATCGAGATGTAGGTGACTTCTCGCCCCTCTCAACATGCTGCAAAATTCGAAAAAGGAAATGGGTTCCCATTCAGTGTTATGCTAAATATGTTAGATTCAATCCAACATAGTTGATCCTTAAAAGGCCAATCTACTTGGAAGGCAACATTTAAGGTGTTTTGGGTGAACAAATACAGATTCAACAAATTATTCACAAAAACAAAATTAGTAAGAGTTACCTTATCTGATGGAGATGACGCCACCACACCTGATACAACAAGCAGAATCATTAGCTAATAAAGCAGAACACAGAAAACTTCTTATATGTTGCTACTCTATGAACTTTAGTGATAATTACTTTCTGAAACATATATTAATTTTAAGCATGATGCTGTAAAACCTAAATAGACTATACATATAACATGGTGTAAATGATGTTCAACTACGTTGAGAGTCCTGAAATATATGAGATAGAGTGTGTCAATACAAGGAAGAATGTTATCCTGGAAAGCATCCATGCCCATAATATCTGTTTCAGAAGATGATTCGACCGCAGGAGCCTTGACATCTCGTACATCTTCCTCTCCTTCACTGTCTGTAGAGCTCCTGTAAGGTAGCAGCTTGAATCCAGGCTGAACAGGGAGAACCTCTGGAGAAAAACTATGGAGCTCACTGGAAGCTTTTCCTTTCAATTTTTTTGATACAGTTGACTGTCCAAACACTTGAGCTCCTTCAGACAAGTTAACACCGGTGTTTTTTGAGAACAGAAAATGGTGAATTGTGTTTGAAAACTTGGGAGGACCTCCAGATAATTCTTCCCCAACGTTGACAGTAGCACATATTCTCATAGTATCCATGTTATGCACAGAACGCTGAAGGCTTGGCAGAGAACAGTATCCTTGATATACATTTTCCAATTTGGTCACCTCTGGGGGACTGCTGCTGCTTGGAAGCAAACCAAAACCAGACTGATTTTGCATTTCCCAGAAATTCTTACCAACAAAATCTGGTTTCCGTTTACTGCTTGTGGTGGGGTCATGTTGTAACAAAACCGCATCATTCTGCCTCGACAATGAACCTTCTGATCTTCTAGAGATGAAATTGGCATTGATATTCTTCTCATGAGCCAACAATGTGGAACTTGAGTGATTTTTAGTATTTCTGACATTTTGTCGAGGTGCTGGAAGAGAGTTCGAATGATTAATTTCCTCCTCTCTACACATGAAAGAAGGCAAAGAAGTGCTCCCACCCTTAAATTGATGTGGCACAATTTCAGAATCTGATCTCATTAATTCATCTGGAAATGGCTCAGAAACAGCTAGGCTATTGTTCTCAAGAAAATTATGATATTTCACCTGCCGCCCCGGAAGCGGTGGGGTGGCTTGCAGAGTCCAGGCAGGCATTGCAGGTGAGTTACTCTCGCTAAGTACACCAGAATGGACAGTAGAATTTTGCTGGTTCTGTTTAGCCAAACCAGTCTTTGGAGGAAGACTGAACATTGGAAAGGACTGGCCTTCCCATCTCTCTTTCCTTGTTTCCTTTGAACTCTCGGTCAGACTACAACCCTCATTGATTTTTCTTACTCTTTTGGGTTCAGTTACTTCTCCAAACCCTCTAAACAAGGCATGCTTCTTAAAATCCTGAATATTTTGTTGGGCATCCTCATAATGAATTGATACATGACCACATGCCTTGGTTTCTGACTTACAACTTGTGCACATCCGATGACCCATCCAAACAGATTCACAAGGACATGAAGCTCGCTCACTTGTTCCTTCACCAGCATGACATGATCGTGCAACCCGATCAGACATGACAAGTACACTTTTACAGTCTGTCCAATTTGCTTTAAACAACTTTATTTCAATGGCTCACCAGAAATCACCTGAAAAATCCCACCACCATATGTATATCAAACATGAAAAGTTTAAGCCTTGTAAATCCATATCCCCATCCTCATGAATATAAAGATTTCAAATTTATAGTACAAAATTCACATTCTTTTTTCCAGATAATAATTGAGGAGAAGGAAAACTCTTTTTTTTTTTTGGGTCTGAACCATGAGGTGGTCCATATAGCCCCAATTATGGGTGGCACCTTTAAGCCTTAACCACAACCCAGACTAATTCCCATTCACACCGGGTCGGCCGTAAGGGGTAAAATGTTGGCCAAAGTGGTGACTCCGTATGAGAGCAGGATCGAACCCCTGACCTCTCTTAAGAAATGAGAGTGCCGAACCACTCACACCAACTTGGTTAAGGAAAACTCCTTTTTCATTTTTGCTAACGCAGGCACGCAAAATTCCATCGTTTACACAGACAATTGCAACCAAATTTATTATTTGATGAAATAAACAAAAGAGAGAATTTAAGCCCGAGTTACCTTCGAAGGTGGAGATGGTAAGACTTTGACACAGCTAGCGTTTGACGGCAGAGATCCAGAGGGCGAGATGGAAGCCAAAGCTGCAACATATGAGGGAAGAGAGAAACAGAGAGAGGTGTGAGGTTCAGGAAAGTGAATGTGAGAGATGAAGCAATAAAACCCCAAAATAAGAAAAGCTTTTAAAATGAGATGGGAAGCAGAGCAAAGAGCATCTGAAAGCCGAGGCTTAGCACTCTGCTCAGCCAAGACAGCCACAGCCACAATCTGTGAGCCAAATAAGGGAGGGACCCATTAACCTGCACTTTTCCATTTGGTCCTCCTCTTTTTATACTTTTCTTTTCTTCTCTTTTTCTTTGTTTATTCATTTAAAGATTTTATATATTTCTTTTTGTCGAAGTCAAATGATTGTATTCCTAATTCACATGTAAACACCGTTAGTCATCAAAGTCAATATAAATATAATAGTAACCAATACAAAGGAGTTTAACAGCAACATCAAACTTAACGGTAACACCAAAATTCTATATAATTCACTGTATATATATTTTTTATAAGGTAAACATATTCATTGTATGTTCAGAACAGCAGATGTTTTTTGTATTTTTTATAAAGTAAGATGTATTAAATGGAGTTATAACGCACCATATGTATGCGTGTATGCAATTTATGGTTAATTATGATGCAATATGTGCATAACAGTTACATTGTAAGGACATTGTACTTGGCAATTATTTCTTTTATTGCAATTCTTATCCAATACGATTGGACTTCAAATTATTACAATCACTTTGTAGATTATCGCTTGTATAAAAAAAATTAGGGGCCAACTAGTGGCGGGGCTGTGCACAGGGCAGGCTGGGTGCTTGCCCAGCCCAAATTTTTTCAAAAAATAAAAATAAACCTACATGTGTATAAGCCCAGCCCCAAAATTTAAAAAAAGTAAAAAAAAAACAAAACTTATCCATATGTTGCCCATCCATGTGGTCCCATATTTTCTCTCCTTCTCTTTGGCTATTAAACTTCTTGTCTCTCTCTCTCTCTCTCTCTTTGCTACCAGATAGCAGCAAGTTTCTCCCTTCTTTTTTTTTGGGGGTCAAATTCTCCCTCTATTGGCTACATATTCTATTATCTTGGGTGGGGCAACTTGGCAACATCTTCTCTTGACTAGGTGTATCTACTTTTGTATTGCATTGCATTGCATTTACTTTTGGTTTTAGATTTTGTATTTGTTGAACTTTTATTTATGGATAGAGATGCATTCAAGGATAGACTCATTATGTCCCCCCTGACTAGGTGTATCTTTTTATGTTTATTAATGAATGAATTTAGTATATAAGTTTTGCCCAACCGACTTTTGAATCTTGAAACCGCAACTGGGGCCAAAGAAGTCTAGTCTAGTGAAAAAAGACATTGACTTAAAGATAAGAGGTCTCATGTTCGAATCCTCATATCATCTTAGTTGTGTGTGTGTAAGAAACCCCCATTCCCTCTAATTTAGATTATCGCTTATACTAAAAATATATATTAAAAAAGAATTGGTGAGTATGAAATTCAAAAACTAAATAGAGGGACCAATTGAAGTGAGAAGATTCTAGAACGATATAGTTAGTCATAGTTGTAATGCTAGTATGTCATATTCTTCATTCTACTTTTCTTTTCCAACATGCTAGGGGATGGATATTTAGGAAGGAAAATATGTCATATATAGAAAAGTAATGTGCTGATCACACAATATTTGATATAATCAATTATAAAAAACATTCTATATTATATTATTATTTTCTTTATAGGAATCTGGGCCTGCCACATAAGGTTGACTTCGAATTTAGCATGATACGCAAGCCAAAAGACTCGTTGAGACTGAGAGACATGGGCACTTTTCCATTAAAAAAAACTGCTGAAATATCTTTTCCCCATTGCAAATATCTTGGCCAACTGCCTTTGATTTACACATATATTTTATTGCAATAAAAAAAACTTACTTTGATAATTTTAATTTGCAGTACATGATTCTCCAAGAAAAGAAAAGAAATATCATGTGACATATCAACGTCCTATTTTGAATTGACGTAAATTATAACTTGTATTGGATTTTTTATATTCCATCTAAAGTTAAAATTTTTGATATATTATGCATGTATTATTATTCGAATGAATTCATAAAATCACGTCAACATGTCACACGATAATAAGGTTGAGGCAAGCCTAGGCTAGAAGTGGCCTTGGCACCCCATGTTTATTTATAGGGTGTGGAAGGAAATATAAAGAAAAATTGATATAATTTCAGTTTATGGCTCTCCACCGCTAGTAAATGAATAGGCTCAGCTGAATAGCCACTTCTTTCAGCTGTAGTCTTCCTATTGGTTGCAATTCATTTTCCTTCTCTTGGATAAAAAGAAAATAAATATTAAAAAAATAATCCAAAAGACCAAATAAGGACAAGTCAGAGTCGGATAAGCATGAACACGTGTACAACAAAACACTGAAAATGAAAAGCAAAATTTTTGTGGCAGGCTCGGCTGGTTTAGAGTGTGGAGCCAGCCAAGCAGGGATCCAGAAAACCATTCTTACCTTTTTTTATTTAATTTTTAATTTTTAATTTATAGTTTTTATTTTATGTACTTGGATGGCTTGTTGGAGGGTTACATTGCCACGCACCTTGTTTACCCACCAAACATCATCAGTTTGGCCCTATTTTCTCCACGTCATTTCCTGGAGAGGGACACTTGTACTATATTGTCGGTCATTCGACACTCTGACACCATCCACCTATCCACTTATACAGAAAAACTTGTACGATATGGAAATAATAATGCTTTCTTATTTTTGGTCAATCACAGATTGCCGTGTAAAAAAATAATTATATATGACATGCTGTAATTGACCGAGAATAGCAAAATAGTGTTACTTGTATTTCATATAAGTATTTCTCTCATTCATGTCAAAATCAAATGAGAAATGTTTAAAAGTATTTTCTCTTATTTTTCTTTTCTAAAATTTTACTTTCTATTGCCTATGTATTAGGTAATTGGAACTACCAACACAACATCTGTTTATCAATATTTTTCAACGGGTCAAATTTATTCGCCTCATGATTGGCTTTGTCTGCAATGATTTTGAATGATCAAATTTAATCCTATCTTGTTTAACTTTTTTTTTAGTAATTTCAGATTTAGAATCACATTATAGTGGTTTTTTTTTTTAATAAAAAAAGTACAACTAAACAGAAGATCCACAAAGAAAATCCAAAATTCCGAACATCATACAATATCGTGATATTTTTTGTGTTATTTCGTTTTCTTATCTAGTACTGGTTAATTCAAACTTTTCTTTTCATCTCCGCATATTTTTGTTAAAGAAGAAATGAAAGAAGACAACACATGTCTAACTAGATGCCCATCAGATAAGAAAAAGTTGCCCATCTTAATCAAAATTATCCTCCTCATGACGTAAACCGTAAACCGCGTTCTGCACGTTGAATTCTATCATGATAATGAAAGAAAAAACCAAGCATCTAACATTATGAGTGATGCTATTTTCAATTTGTGTCTTTTTTTATCTTATGATAAGCTATAGAATATTATTGATGTGAAAAAGCTAATACAATAAGTCTGAACATGTATCAAGGACAAAGGAAATTCCTTGATCATGAGTTACAATACTTGTACAGTACATCAGAAATAAAATCAGGAGGTTCCTCAAATTAGTATAGAGAATCCCCAATATGCAAGGCAAAATGCGGTATACGATGAGCCTCACCATTGGAGAAAGAGATACCAACAAGTGAAGCGGCAATAAACCACCATATGAGGCAGGACCTACATGCTCACACCTTTAGATTGTTGAGAGTTCTCTTTTCTTTCTATTCTAGATCGTATCAAATTTTAGAGAGATGAGCCAGCGGCTTACTATTAATAACACCAATATTGTCCCCAACTTAACCACCTACAAAGCCCAGTATGTATGAGGTTTTATCACAAAAGATATCGGTGATATTAGTAGTGGAACCATTGATTATATATTGTATTTTATTTAATCAAGTTTCCAATATGAGACTTATATTCTTTAATAGACCGATCCAATTTTAGATCGTCTACCTCAACTCACACTGATCGTCTACCTCAACTCACACTGTATAAAAGAGTTGCACCCTTGTGAGGCGGGACCTACCCTTTGTCATGAACAATAATATAATGTTTGGAGTGTATTGCGCTCCAAAAAATACCTGAATTTTTTCCCTCTTGGCCCCACATTAAGAAATGACGTGGCAAGGGTCCGTTGAGTCCAGGTCTTGGGTCTAGAAGCTAAAGTATCTAAGCATAAAGCAAAAACAAAGGGATGAGACCTAATGGCCCACGGCCGTGACACAACGGACTCGACCCTAAACCAAATCAAAGTTGACTAAAAGTTCACACGGCACAAGATTTATGGAACAAAATCTCGACCCAAACCTTAGGAGGGACGGCCCAATTCCTTGGCCCAACCCAAACCATTATGCATGGCGGAAAAGTTTGACCAAAAGTCAATGCTCGGCGATTGTTCCTCGGCCTATATTCATATTTTGTCGTTAATGTAACACATTTATTATTCTGAAAAAAAAGGTCACACATTTATTATAGTTTGAAGACTAAATTCATATTTTGATGATTAGAAATTACAGTTTTTTTTTAAAAAAATATGAAAATTACAGGTTACAAGGGTCGATTAGATGAGCAATTCTTAAGTACAATCAATTTTATATAATTTTGTGTCTATTTTTTTATTATTACGTGATCTCTCCGACAAATAAAAGTGATAGACATAAAATTGTATGAAAAAAGCATTTTGATTTAAAAAAAAAATTAAAAAAAATATATATATATATATATATTCAAGGTTAGTTAAAAATAGCTAGTGATAACCAAGGTGGTTGGTGTGAGTGGTTCGACACTTTCATTCCTTAAGAGAGGTCAGGGGTTCGATCCCTGCTCTCGTACGGAGTCACCACTTTGGCCAACACTTTACCCTTTACGGGCCGACCCGGGGTGAGTGGGGATTAGTCTGAGTTGTGGTTAAGGCTTAAAGGTGCCACCCATAGTTGGGGCCCATCCAGGACCACCTCATGGTTTAAGACAAAAAAAAAAAAAAAAGCTAGGGATGTTGTTGGAGATGCTCTTATTACCTAATCTTTATCCCGTCGCATGATGCAAGTGATAGAAAAAAACCTTTTTTTTTTTTAATTCATAGC